AAATTCAAGTCCACCCAGAGGTGCCTCAGAAGACACGCCTGGAGATCTACTTCTGAAAAACCAACCATTGAAAACCCTATGGAGCACAGTTCTACTGACACACATGGGGTGGCCATGAGTCAAAATCAGCTTGATGACAGTTGTTTTTTTCTTAAATAACTGTTAGGGGAAACTGGATGAAAGGAATATAAGACCTCTCATACTATGGTATCTTTGTAATTTCCTATATATCTATAATTAATTCAAAATAAGAATTAAAAGGACAACAAAATATCAATTCAATTCAGAAACTATTTTGATATTCCAGTTTTCTTCTTCTTCAAAACACTTAGAAAATGCAAAAAAAAAAAAAAAAAATTCATTTCTGGTATGAGTTGGTTCCCAGTATTTTCAAATAAGTTGAAAATCAAACAAAACAGCAAAAAAGTACCCAAACTATAGACTTTCAAAGGGATAAAAACTATATTTCTGGCTAGTGGACTTGAAAATATCAATGTAAAAAATCCAAACCATAAACACTTTTTGACTGTCATTAAAAATATATTATGTGGAGCTTGGTTGGATTAAGGCAATAAGTCTCACGGTTCATAAATAAGAAGTGAACACAATGATATACAAATAATTTTTATTTCTATAAAAAGTAACAAAAAATAACCTTTACTAGAAATTTTCAAGTGTCCTAAAAAAATTAGCATCATAATAAGTTACTCACATTTAAAAGTAGTTAAAATATTAACTCTGCCATATATATTCCACACAGAATGACAAATTCAAGACACTGAAATTTTCAATTTCTTCGACTGGTTTGAGTAAATCTCTACTTGTATTACTGTATTTTGAAAATAACAAAGAACATGGGACTGGTTGCTGTGACTTACTTGTGACCATTACTTAGACTTTCTGAGGCTTTGGCTTCCTCATCAGAGAAGAAGGCATATCTATCACTCTAGACTATTGTGATGCTTAAATGATATCATGACTATTAAGTGAATGTTGTCAAGTGGTACATAGATATTAATCATTAAGGGCAATAGCTTAACACTTATTCAGAAACATCATTGTTAAGACAATTCTTAATTCTTGGTAGAAGATGTGTTAAGGCAATTATTTTTCTCCAAACATTTTACAATTTCAAGGTCATATTTCACTGATTTGAAAACACACGTTTTTCACACTTAACATATCTGAAATTGACATGTTTATCTTATAATTGATTTTGGTGAGGTGCAGTCGTGACATACTTGTATCATATGAATGTGCATCAAAATTTGAAGAATGGGTATCAGCGTCTTGGAAGAAAACCCTAGAGCTAATAATGGGCATTCTTAAAAAATACTACATCACTAATGTTCTTAACAGATATTTTTCTACATGATGTAAAAAAATATGGACATCGAGACTGAAATGAAAAGCAAATCAGAAGGGTTAGACTCTGAATGTGAAGTTTTGGGAGCACCCAGCAAATTAATTTTGTTTATTTTTCTTTTTAGGTATGTATGTATGTACAATGGTGATACATGATTTTTTGAAAAATGTCTAAATAAAAGAGTTCTTCAGTAACTTTAAAAGTACCAAGTGATAAAGGACTATGCCATAGTTAAATTGGCATTTTTTCTTTCTTGGTAGTACATAAGATAATGGTATATTTTTATAAGATTGCATTTTAGCTTCAAGGAAACTCTGTTGTACTCAAGAAAACATTAAATCAATTTTCACAGCTATTACTCTCATTCTTTCTATTAATTTCTTCCACTAAAATTTGATTTAAATAATTGAATTAATAAAAAGACAGTAACCAATCCTAAGAATAAAGCCTTTGATATAAAGTAATGATAAAAAAGCATATGCCACTCCATAGAAGTGGAATATTAAACTAAAGCTGTGCTCTGACTGATCTGGGCTTTGATCAAGTCCTCCGGTGATATTAGTTTGTTCGCTGATCTTTCTATATAGAGCATGATTTCTGGCCTATTCTGTTTAACTAGTATTTTTTACAGAGTGCTAACTATATGCTAGGCACTGAATTAAGCACTGGGAATAAGCATGGCCCTTGCCTTGCCGGTGTTCTGCATCTACTAGGGAAATGACAATAACTAAGTCACACAAATAATTTTAAATTGTTATAAATACTGTAAAGGTGGACAAAAAACAAAAAACCAAATCCACTGCCATAGAGTCAATTCCATCTCAATATTAAAATCAGTATTACCTTGTGAAAAGAGTAAAAGCTACTGTTAAAAGTCAATCAAAAATATTTACTGATGGTATTAAACCAGTTGAACCAGTTGCTGTGAAGTTGGCTCTGATTCATAGCAACCCCAGATGTGTCAGAGTAGAACTGTGGTCCATAGGGTTTTCAGTGTCTGATTTTTCAGAAGCAGATCACCACACCTTTCTTCTGAGGCACCTCTGGGTAGACTCGAACTTCTAAACGTTTGGTTAGCAACTGAGCGTGTTAACCATTTGCACCCCTCAGGAATTCCACTGATTGTATACTGTCTGCAAAAGGTAAGGTACACATTACCCCTGGTATGACCTGAATGATACAGAGGAAGGACTAATGTGATAATGGGAGGAGAGGAGAATATTCTAGAAAAGAGAACAAGTACAAATAACCACTACATTATCTGCCTGTGTACTAGGGGCCATAGATCTAACACGAATGGTAAACAAATAGGATCTGAATTCCTAAACCTAAATTTAATAATTCCACAAGTTTTCTTTCTGAACTCAGTTTCTTCATCAGTAACAATAACTGTAATTTTCCTTTCTGAACTCAGTTTCTCCATCAGTAATAATACCTGTAATAATACAGAGTCATTATGAATCAGAATCCACTTGAAGGCAATGGGTTTGGTTGTTTGGAGCCCTAGTGGTGCAGTGGTTAAGAGCTATGGCTGCTAACCAAAAGCTCAGCCGTTCAAATCCACTAGACACTCCTTGGAAACCCTATGCGTCAGTTCTATTCTGTCCTATAGGGTCACTATGTGTCAGAATCCACTCGACAGCAACGGGAGGGGGTGGTTTAAATAATAACTACTGTATAGAAGAACATACAAGATAATGTACATGGACATGTTTTACAACCAGAAAAGTACTAAGTTTAAAAAATCAGTTAAAAAACAAAGAATGGCAAAGTTATATGTTTGTTACATAACGTTAAAAATGGAGAACTGAGTTATAATCATTATTGATACAGATTATCATTAGAGTAACTTGTACTGCACATATGATTTACATTTTCTCTCATTATAGCTTATTATGTACACGTTTTATCTGTCCTGCCAGATTGTAAGCTCCCTGCGGATGGTAAGCAGATCTTAAACATGGCACCTAACAGGCTTTTAGTAAATATTAGCTGAGCTATCAAGGAGCCCTGGTGGCACAGAGGTTAAGATCTCGGCTGCTAAACAAAAGGTCAGCAGCTGGGATCGACCAGCCGCTCCTTGGAAACCCTGAGGCAGTTCTACTCTGTCCTATTGTGAGTTAGAACCAACTCGATGGCAACGGGTTTGTTTGTTTTGTTTTTTGGTTAATAGATGTATGAAGACAGTTAATCCATTTTACAGTCCTTTGAGGATTTGTATATTTGTGTGTGTTCAAAATTTTATCTACTTGCAAAGGATTTGAGGGGCTTCATGACATTAGGAAACTACAGACTACAGATAAAAAGAGTACAGAACCCATCTTAAAGAGAACAGAAATATTCGGCAGGTAACTGTTAATTACTACTGCTGGCCTTTGGTTGACGTTCCCTGGCCGTCAGAAGAAGGCAACCGGCAGAATCTTACAGTATGGTACTTACTCTACCACAAAGTTAGGCATTTACATTTGTCTACAGAAACGAACTTTTCCTTGAACCAAAACTGGCAGGGCACTTTTATCACGTGGGCTTTCATATAAGAGTCACCTACAGTTTACACGGAACAACTCTGAAACATCAATATAGCCCTTTATAAAGTCTGAGGAAATAATAACTGAGCGAAGGCAAAGTAAAACTTAAGGGCCGCTGAAGTTAAGTATTTGGTTCACCACTGATGTCTCACAGCAATAGAAACCTCAGTTTTTCTCCCTAGAGCTTGGGCCAAGGATTGGCAATCGAAAAACAGCACCTGGGTAACTTTATTGCTACAATAAAGGGTCAGCATAAGTACAGCTACTCGCCGGCAGCCTCAGATTGAGAGTCTTAACCGCACTGCCACCGAGTCATTCCGACTCATAGCGATCCTATAGGACAGGATAGAATTGCCCTATAGGATTTCCAAGGCTGTAAATCTTTACAGAAGCAGACTGCCATGTCTTTCTCCCGCGCAGCTGGTGGGTTGGAATCACCGACCTTTCAGTTAGCAGCCAAGCACTTCAACCACTGCGCCACGGAGGGTTCCAGGGTGGGCGGATGCCGCGGATTGGAAGTGCTGGGGCGGGAGCAGCGTCTTTGGCTGAAGGGGCTCGGGGCCAATTTAGGGCCACCGCGTCACACAACTCCAGAGAACACTATACACATCACAGTCTTTGAGGATGGCAGCCTCCTCCTAGTTGCGGAAAACTCTCCTGCCCCGAACACGAAGGCGCGGCAGACGCAACTGAGGCCAAAAATCCCCTTCTCTGTGGGTCATAGGAGGTAACCTCGGTCCCCGGGAATAAAGCGCTACCATCCCAAACCTTCCCTTCGACCCCGGAGCTCACCCATCTGCAACTGCAGTCTCCGAAGTCTCCACCCCAAGTCTCCCTGCCTCCAGATGACTGACTGCTATTGGCTTGCACCACTGTCCCGTTCGCTCTTCCCGAAGCGTGAGTGGCGTAACTGTCTGGCTCTTGGCTTTCGCCCCTCCCTTCGTTCACCTCTGAAGCTCCGCCCCCACGGACGTCACACGTTGTCGCAGAGCGCAGAGGTGGGTCTCTGGGTCCCCCGCCCTCATCTACTCTTCTCCGATAGGAGGCGGCCGGGTAGAGTGCAGACGAGTGAGGATTCTTGGTAGACAACGTGCCCAGAGGCGTAGTGCGTCGCCCCGCCCCCTCCGTACGCACGCCGGGAAAAAGGGGGTGGGGGCACGTTTGCGTCCCCGCCATCTCTGCCCGGCTGTGGCAGCGAGGTCCGGTTTCGGTGTATGGTTTATCCTGCCAAGCGGTTCTGCTTGGTCCCGGCCATGGAAGGCGTGCGCTGGGCCTTTTCTTGCGGCACTTGGCTGCCGAGCAGAGCCGAGTGGCTGCTGGCGGTGCGATCGATCCAGCCCGAGGAGAAGGAGCGCATTGGCCAGTTCGTCTTTGCCCGGGATGCTAAGGCAGCCATGGTACTACAGGTCTTTGGTATTTACAGCCGAGGAAGCAGATGCTGGGGGAGGTGGGCCGGGCTGCGGAGACCCACTTTTCTGCCCTCGGGTCGACGCCCGCGCTCTAGCCCACCTTGGCCGGCCCAGGGCGACCGCTGGTCGGCGCTGCAATGTCTCCGATGCGCGCACGGCCTGGTCTCGATGGTCTTTGTAACCGCCCCGGAGGCCTCAATTGCTGAAAAAATTAGTCTCTCCCCCGTTTATTTGAAAATAGGGACCGTACTACACCATAACATAAGTGTAATGAAGGCCTACGAAGTAGCTTTTTTTTTTTTTCCGTAATGATGTTTTTATATTTTTATTTTTAAAATGTTTCCAGATCTTTGCTTGGGCCCATTACTTATGCTTAATATGCCTGTTAAATATCCCACCACTCCCGAGGCACCATGCACGTGGTCGGCCTTAGAAAATATTGAATTCGTTTAGCCTTGCACCCCGTGGAACTGGAAGAGGCCTAAGCTAGCCTCTATTTACCAAGGAAACGGAAGCCCAGGGAGAATGCAGACCCAGGCATACCTTCCTGACTACATAGTTTGGGAAACAGCATTTTAAATAGAACCATTTATTTAAATTTTTTTTTTTTTTTTTTTTTTTTAGTAACAACTGGAGAGATTGATTTCAAAATAAATACCTCTAGTACGAATTGTTTGAAACAGCTCTTAATTACTATCGCTTCAAAGAGGGATTTCTTGGAAATGTCCCTATATCAAAACACCGTTCTGTTTGAAATGGGGGCTAATTCATGATTTTTTTGAAGGCATATTGGGAAATGTTTTCTATATATATATCTTTAGTAAGAAATAGCAAAATGAGCAAATTTCAAAGCCCTGCAATATTTAAAAGTCAGTGTTAAAATTGAAGGAAAATAAAAAACCTAAATATTTTACAAAATATCCTGTTATCTTACACCATTGGGTTTCTTTTGTGTGTTTGTTGTCATTTATTTCTTAATAATGGAGTGGGAGAAAGTGTATGGAGTACAGGTAAAACAAGTTACCAACTGCTAGTGTTGAAGCTGAGTGATGGATATATAGGATCTAGAATACTCTCACATATGCACAAATATATAGGTACAACAAGGCTGCTCACTGCGATTTTTTTTTTTTTATCATAGCAAAACTAGAGCCAGCCTGAATGTCCAGTAATAGGGGAATAGTCAACAAGTCATTGTACATTGATACTATCAGATATGCTACTGTTAAAAAGAATCCGCAGACCAGGCTGATAAATACAGACATGCAATAATCTCCAGTATGTGGCAGAATGCTTCATTTAGTATGATCTTGTTTATGTATATGTAATAACAGAGAGATGTAAATGTACATTTAAATACTTACATAAAAGACTGGAAGGATCCCTACTATTAACATCTGTTAGCAGGGAGGAAGTTGCTAAGGAGACTTTTTCATGTGTGTACTTAAGCATTGCTTAAATCTTAGTAATGCTATGTATTTAATAATTACGTAATTTTCAAAACTTTTAACGATCACTATTTTAGATTAGATATCACAAAAATGTACTTTGATATAGGCAGTGTACCTAAATCTCTAGTAGAAAGTGATATATACCTAATGTTTTATATACTTAACAGGCTGGTCGTCTGATGATAAGGAAATTGATTGCAGAGAAATTGAATATCCCTTGGAATAATATTCGTTTGCAAAGAACTGCAAAAGGAAAACCAGTCCTTGCAAAGGACTCATTGAATCCTTATCCCAATTTTAACTTTAACATCTCTCATCAAGGGGACTTTGCCGTGCTTGCTTCTGAACCTGAGCTGCAAGTTGGGATTGATATAATGAAGACTAGCTTTCCAGGTAATGTTGCGTTTTTGTAGCACAGAAATTATAAGTATCTTGATGTCTCACTTATTACCTATTGTATAATCTCAGGCCAGGATGTATGTTATAGATATTTGAGGTTAGGAAAAAATGTGCTCAATATCCAAAGGTCATGTATATGGAAGAGCATATTTCTAAAAAGGTCGTATTTCTTTGAATATTACCAGACTTTTATATAGAGGCTAAATTCTCCATTTTGGGGGAATCTGTGTGATGGGTTGCCTAGAGGTAAAGTGAAAATATAAAGATTTTCTTTTTGAATCATACTCAGCTTATGTAAGATTAAATTCAAACCCGTTTTCAAGGACTTTTAAATTTTGTAAAGTTTTTTCAGTAGATCAGTGTTAGTCTTATATTTAAATAATAGATGGCACATTGTATTGAACCCAACAAATGGTCAGTTTTGAATAGCACACTATTCAAAAACAGTAATTATGCTATAAGAATTTTATTTCACTACTTTCAGTAAGTTGTTAGCTTAAAAGAGGAATTTCAAAAGTGAGGTATATTGTAGTCCTTACAGATAACTTGTCTTTGTGCTGTATCTAAATACAGGTCTTTGTAGTCCATTTATATAAGTAAAAATGAAAAACAAGCACTTATTAAAATATTTAAGTTGCTTGTATATTACCTTAGAAATTTGTAACTGGTAGGTTTAGGAGCTGCTAACATTTATTGAGGGGTTCGGTATACCCAGACAATTTTACTGGAACACAGACTTTCTCGACTACATTGTCATCATCATCACCATCATCACTAACATTTAGTGTGCATTTACTGTGTGCCAGTAGTCAGTAATGCTTTACATATATTATCTGATTTGTTTCTCCCAGCCATCCTTCAGTGAATATACTGTTGTTTTTATCAGAGGATAAGTAACAGGCTGAAAAGAAAGAGCTATTAATAAGAGAACCCACATCTCCCTAATTTCATAGTGCAACTGCCTGATCTCCATGCCACCTCCCTCACAGGGTCTTCAGTTATGTGGCTCCCTCTGCCTGGAAGGCTTTCATTTACTTTATATACCACCCACATACTTGCATGGTATTGTCTGTTGCCCTCAAGTCCATTCCGACTCATGACTCACGAGGACTCTGTGTGTTGCAGAGTAGAACCGTGCTTTATGGGGTTTTCAATGGCTGTGATCTTTATCAAAGCACGCTGCCAGGCCTTTTCTTCTGCAGTACTGCTGGGTGGGTTTGAACCTCCCACCTTTAGGTTAGCAGTCACGTGTCAACTGTATAATGTTTAATAAATGTCAAATGACTGAATAAACTTCTGTGCTAACAATATAGGCTTCAGAGTATGTCTGAATCTCTGCTCTCAAGTTTGCTTTCATTGTCTTTACCTTGCATTTTCCCACTAGCTACTTTTTCTCTGACCTGCTCATAAACCTTTCTTTTACAACTGTATTCTCAACTTTGCTCAGAAGGAGGCTCTAGGAGTGATTGTGGAAACATTATAACAGGTGTTCTTAATCTGGAGTCCATGGGTAAACTTTAAAGGATTTTTTTTTTTTAACTTTCTGAAATTGTTTGCTGTATTTTGTGTTAATGTGCACATGTTCATTTTTCTGAGGAAAAGATCTGGTTTTCATGGGTGCCATAGAAGGATTAGTCTAAAATCACTGCTATAAAGGATTCAGAGTAGGCACAGAAATGAGCCCATATGCTTTTATAGTTTTCTGCTGTCCTTATGTGAACTTGGTTTTCCTCAAAGCAGAAATTATTGGAGAGGCCATTACTCCTTAGAATGCAGTCTGCACAACTGCACAGTAGTGCGTGGCCCAGCAGGCTGATATCTGCCTGGGAATTATGCCTGTGAAAAACAGATTTTATGCCACTTGGCCTGATGGGCAATGTTAGCTTCTGACCAATAGTCAGTAACCAAGTAATTAACTAATTGAAACTTTTGATAAGTGATAGAATAGTTGAGCAAAAATTGAAGGTTCCATTTCTTGCTTATTATGTTCTGTTAGACTTTGTTTTCTTATTTTTTTCCCCCAGTATTTTTGATTGACTAATTGAGTACTCTTACTTGAGTAATCACAGTACCCAGGTTTTTTCTTTTTGTTTGACTGTTTCATTGCTGAAAAGCTTTTGATATGCTCAGTAACACTTAGGGAAAGAATGTTTTCCATTTGTCCCTAATATTGTTACTATGAATGGACATGCTGTGATTTCTCAATGAGGGGGGAAAGAAAGCACTGGTTTGCTTCTTGGGAGAGTCATTTGAGTTGCTTTACTTATCAGAGCAAGTGAGGAAATTGAGTAAGGGAAGTCTTCAAGATTCTTGCTGACTGATGGACGGTAGAACTTAGAAAGGATAGCAGCAGGGGAAGTAGTATAGTTTGTACTGTTACTTTGTAGTGTTTGTACTTTGTACTGTTACTAGATCTTGAACTTTCAAGATTATCATTAGTGTATTGAGAGACTCAATTCTATTACTCCCATCTTGTCTCTGAGGGTCATGTAAGACCTTGGGGTATTTTCTTCCTCCTCGTCAATCCATTTCTACTAGGTGCAGCTCATTTCCTTACGCCTCCCACTTCTTCCGTTGCTGCTGTGGCAGTGCAGGAGGGAATATATTGATGGATCTAGGAAGCTTTGGGGCTCCTCCTGGCCATATGGCGACTATTAAAGTGATTATCGCAGCTACCACTTTATGCTCTGCTTAATGGAGAGAGGAACCTTATACAAGGTGCATAGTAGGCTCTCACAAAATATTTGTTCAGTGAATGTCCAGTGTAGAGGGATTATAAGACACTATGGGCCCAGGTATAGCTATAATGCCAGTGCGGTACATTTCCAACCCTGCAGGATGCTGTTTTCAGGGTCAAATTTGCTGCCCACAGTTGGGAAATTCTGGTTGGTTTTTCCTTCATTTTCTAATTTTTATCTGTCATTAAATGCTGCATGTGTTTCTAATTATAAAAAAAAGGATAGTCTTATGAATTGTTCAGTTCTATTCCCATATTTACAAAGTAAGGTAAGGGAAGATAGGCAAGATAAGTTCAGAAACTATGACCTAAATTTGGGAAAAGACACATTTTTCCCCCCCAAGGTTTTTCATTTTCAAGTTTACATTTTCATTATAAACTGCTGGATGTTAATTGACAGTATAAAATGACCCATAAATATACTTTTGATGTAATACCAATTTCCTAGGTTTTAAATGACTATCACAGAATTGCTGGAATTGCTCTCCAGAATAGCTGTTACTTATTAGCTGAAGTACCAAACAAACAAACAAAAAAAACATTGCTGTCGAGTTGATTCTGACTCATAGTGACCCTATAGGGCAGAGTAGAACTGCCCCATAGGGTTTCCAAGGAACGACTCTTGGATTTGAACTGTTGACCTTTTGCTTAGCAGCCGAGCTCTTAACTACTGAGCCACCAGGGCTCCAGTTCAGTAAGTATAAATTAAGTGGTGATGTCATTTGATAGCTAGGAAGGTGGTAGAGCCTATTTCTTGTCTTCTTCTACCATACTGTCTCTCTTGGACTATTTTAGTAGTCTCCTAATTGAGTTCCCCTTTTCACTTTTTCCGTCACCCAGTCAGTGCTTTCTCTGCACTGAGTGGTCTTTTAAAATACCTACAGCAGTTTTATTAAAGCTCTTACATTGCTTCCCATTGCACATAGAACAAAATTTAAGCCCCTTAACATGATCCTGTTTTCTTGTTCTCATCTACATCTCCATTCTCAATCTCTAGCTATTCTCCTCTTTGCTTATATTTTCTGTCCATACTGAAAATATGGTCTTTTAATACATTCAATGTGGCACACTTTCCTATTCAAGGTCATTGTAAAAAAAAAAGGCTGATTCCTCTGCCTGCTTTTCTCGTTATTGATTACCTGAGATATGAAGAATGAGAAGCAGCAGATACCTCAGAAATGAACTTTCCTAACCACCTGATCTCTTAGAGCATCCTGCCTGTTCTTTTGCTTCATGGTCCTTCTCATTTGTAATTATGAGTTATTTGACTATTATTTGCCTCCCGCATTAGATCAGTGTAGGAACCATGCTTGTTTTGTTCTGTTCATCACAGTATACCCAGTACCTACCTACCAGAATGTCTAGCACATAGCAGGTAATCAGTAAATATTTGTTGATTGTATAAATGATAGAAGTAGTTCAGGGGACCTTTTCCCTCAATTCCTTTTAAAATATTCCTTAAATTTGGTGCAGAGAAAAAATGGGTATGTAGCTACAATGAAAAACTATATTCATAACAGATTCTAGTTGGAATATAAGCTGTTCTTATCAGTGGGTTATGATTAAAAATAGTTCTTCCTTCCTTTGAGTCTTCCTCCTCATCCCTCCATTTCCCATCCTAGCTGCTGCTTTGCTTCATTTCTATCCCTCTCAGGTTCTGTTTTCAGCTTGGTTGCTTCTGTAATTTATTCCACTATCATATCTGTCTAGGCTGTTCTACATTCCTCTAGATCTGCATCTTGCAGAATGTGCTTTTAAAAAAAAAAGTTGCCATCAAGTCAATTCTGACTAATGGCAACCCCATGTGTTACAGAGTAGAACTGCACCATAGAGTTTTCAAGGCTGTTATCTTAATCAAAGCAGATTGCCAGGCCTTTCTTCCGTGATGCTGTTGGGTGTGTTTGAACTGCCAACCTTAGATCAGGTGAGGGCAAACTGTTTGTGCCACCCAGTGACCCTGTTCTGTTAAACTTCACATTTAAGAAGAAAGATGTTACTGTCCTTTGTCAGTAACATACAAGAGGTTTTTATCATGTAGTTTGTGAAACCTATTTTGGCAGCTTGGATATTTAGAGAGCTGCCTTGGAGCACACAGATGGACATTGCTCAATTCCCTGTAAATAACTGTCCCATTTTCTTTAAGAAGAGTGGTGACTTTTTCACTGTAACTGAGATGCTGTTTTATGTACACATTTTTTGGAGAGGGATTGATGTAGGAGTGCTTTAAGGCTGTGGTACTAGTGGGAGGACTTGTTTA